CAGTCGCCAGACTTGAACCCGATTGAGCATGCATGGGATATGCTACAGAGAAGAGCTCTGCCGAATATGGAGGGTATCCAGTCGCAAGAAGACCTTTTTTTGTTGTTGCAACGAACATGGGCGGCCATTCCACAGCGTGATTTGGATGAACTCATTTTGAGTATGCCAAACCGATGTTCTTGTGTTGTTAGTGTTCGCGGTAGAAATACGGATTATTAATTGTTTAAGTTACCCAATAAAATTTTAGAGAAAACTGTTATTTCAGTCTTTTTTTCGAACTTTTGTGTTAGTGGTTCAAATGTCAAAAATCCCTTTATTAGGAAAATGGCAAATTTCTTTATTAATGCAAAGGTGACTTGGTTTATCGTTACTGTGACAAACGAAAACACTTTATTTGATGAATCCTTAAAGAAAATTTTAATTAATATCAATCAGGAGAAAAGTTATTGCAAAAATATATGTTGATCCCTAGACACTTTTGATGTGTGTATTAGTGCGGTAATTTACCGTTATTACAAAGGTTATTACAAAGTAGTAGACACTCTACACTCACACCTAATAGACCTATAAAGATCAAGCATTTGCCTGCACCTTGGTTGACCGACGACATCAAATTATTAATGGCAAAAAAAAATAATGCTAAGGCTAAATACAAGAGCAACCCCACAGATAGTAGCCGTAATAAATATCATAGAATCAGGAATCGCTGCAATACAGTGTGCAGGGACGCACAGCGCCGCCATATCCATAAATCCGTGGAAAGCGGTAATCCCGCTAAGGTCTGGAAGTTCTTAAGGTCTCTCGGTGTTGGCAAATCTCGAAATGTCAATTTGTCTCAAAACATAGAAATCAATCGCCTGAATGGTCATTTCTCTGTATCGTCTTCTCTTGACAGTCATGTCAAAGAGAAAACTATAAGGTATCTTTCTTCTCTGCCAACACCAGATTTTACTCCTTTTACTTTTAGTCAATTTTCCGATAGTGATGTTGAGAGGAGCATTCGTGCCATTGATTCCAAAGCGGTAGGCAATGACAATATTGGCCGTAACATGATCATTCCTTTACTTGATATTCTATCTCCAGTTATCACCCAAATTTTTAACCAATCCATTTCCTCTAGCAATTTTCCAAGAATTTGGAAAGATGCTCAAGTCATTCCACTTCCCAAAAAATCCAATCCTGATTGTATGTCTGATTTCCGTCCTATTTCCATCCTACCTTTCCTTTCAAAAGTTCTTGAGCGTCTTATACACAATCAAATCAGTGAATACCTTCGTGTGAATAACTTACTAAATCCTATACAATCTGGTTTCCGTCCTGGCCATAGCACAGCTAGTGCACTTGTCAAGATCACCGATGATATTCGCTTTGGCATGGAGAATCAGCAACTTACAGCTTTAACGTTACTAGACTTTAGTAATGCCTTCAATAATGTTGACTTTGAAATCCTGTTGAGTTTGCTATGTTCCCTTAACATATCTCCTGCGGTCATTGACTGGTTTCGTAGTTATCTACATGGACGCCGGCAGCGTGTAGTTGTTGGTGAATCCTTCTCTCAATGGTGTACACTCACAGCCGGTGTTCCTCAGGGCGGTGTGCTATCTCCTTTGCTTTTTGCTATCTTCATCAATTCCATTACTCTTAACTTAACTTCTACCTGTCATCTGTATGCAGACGATCTCCAGATTTACACACAGGCTCGATTAGAAAATTTGAACAGTGCCATTAATATTCTAAATTCTGACTTAGCTCTTATAACAGAATGGAGCCACTCATTTGGACTAACAATTAATCCGACAAAAACGCAGTGCATAATTATTGGTAGCCCTTACTTCATATCACGGACGGACTTTAAGCAACTGCCATCAGTTACTTTGAATGGAACTGTTATCCCATTTTCTGATACAGTTCGGAATTTAGGGGTAATATTTGATAGAACCCTATCTTGGTGTCATCAGGTTGCTGAAGTTAGTAGACGAACTTTCACTGCAGCCGGATCTTTGCGGCGTTTGCGTAACTTTTTGCCTACTGCCACCAAAATTTCTCTTGCAACTTCCCTTCTTCTACCAATTCTTGATTATGCAGATGTTTGTTATCCTTATCTTACCTTTGATCTTTTTAGTAAACTGGAACGACTGCAAATTTTTTCCATTAGGTTCATATATGGTTTGCGTAAGTACGATCATGTTTCTTACTACAGGCAAAAATTAAAGTGGCTTCCCATTCGTCGTCGCCGTGATCTACATGTATTATCCCTACTTTTCTCAGCACTGTTCAATCCAAAAGCTCCTGTTTACCTCAAAGAACGTTTTCAGTTTCTTTCTTCTTCCCATAATCTTCCACTTCGTTCATCTAACAATCTTCTTCTTTTCACTCCTCCTAACTTTTCCAAGGCGTATAGCCATTCTTTTACAGTACATGCTATCCAACTCTGGAATTCCCTGCCCGAAAAGATAAGGCGTGCCCAAACTTTAGACTGTTTTAAGTCTTTAGTTAGGGAACACTTTTTGTCGGAGGAACTTAATTTTTCATAAATCTTGCATTAGAACTTACCGGTTTCGGTAGCGTTGTGAAGTATCTGAGTATTTTATGTTTACCTATATATTTAAATTTATCTTATTGTATTATATTTTCCTTTTAATTTTTTTCCCCCTTTTCGTCTTCTTCCAATCTAATTATCAGGAAAACTTTTGCCTTGTGTTCCGCACAACCTCCCTTACTCGCTTACCTTATTTTATTTCCAGCTCATTGGGTTGTCTGGAAGAAATCGCTCATTAGCGATAAGACCGCCCTTTGTGCAATGTTGTATTTTTCTACTTGTTTTGTATCTGCTTGTTTTGTTACTGTGTTGTGCAATAAAGAGTTTTTATCTTATCTTATCTTATCTTTTTCGGGGTTAAAGTGAGACAAAGGTATGATGATAGCGCTTTCAAGGAGGTTCGACGAAATTAAACGTAAAGGATACTCACGGCGCCATGTATGGGAGCGTGCGGTAAAATGTTTTACCGTACGCTTCGTTGTATGGCCCTTAATTTTGAACTTTCGACCCAATGTATACAACCTCCGTAAATGCATTTTTGAGCAAATGTATTGAAAAGAAATAACAGCTTTCTCTAAGAACTCATTGTTTTAGTACCGAAGCCCAAGAGCGAATTTTAACAGCTCCGTAATCGTATCTTCATGGTTAAATTTTGAATGGAAAAAGCCAGTTGGTTCTTACGTCCAGCAGGGGCGCTGCTTAGTTTTCATGGAAACTTCGACGATGCAATACGATTACGGAACTGTCAAAATTCGTGCAGGGGCCTTCGTTGTAGTCTTTTAGGAAATTCATAGTAGGGAGTTAAAACCATAACCTGAGTATTCGCAAAAGGTAATTCGTTTTAAATCACGCAGTGCGTAACCGATTTCTTTTAAGGAATGCAAATAAATGATGAGGAGCCCGATGGCGCAAGTGGTTATTACGTTCGGGTGCGAACGTTGAAATTAAGCAACTTTCGCAGTGGTCGGTCATTCCGATGGGTTACCAAAAATTTTCTATCTCGAGTTCCTCCGTCCATAGGGAAGGCCTGTATCCCAGTAGTGGGGACATTAATAGGCTGGTGATGATAATGATGATGTGCAGATAAATACCATTTTTGTCGAGGAAAAATCCTTAGACGCCGTACCGAATTCATTCAAGTTGAATAAGCGTAATTTTTAGCACAATGTAAAGCTTAAAATAATGATCTTAAATTGTCCTTACTACAAAGATAGTGTTGACGCACGTACTCTCAACGTGCGGTCGACGGGTCCACCTACCAATAAAAGCAGGTGGAAGTCTTCGCATTTGGATTTTAATTGAATAACAAAAAGAAAATGCCGAAATTAAACAAACTATTTATTAATCTCTAATCACCTACACAATTCATACCATTTTATTATTCCTTTTTTAGTGTCTAGAAATAATACGACAATTATTAATTTAACCACTTAGTCAAAGGTTGACAATTCCAGTACTAGGACACCATCGGCACAGGAAAAAAGAATATAGGTATACTCGTGTCATTAAAGGAACCGAAAATGCAACGCGAGGCACTCTGTCTCTCTCGCACGTTACTTAGGATTGGATGCGCGAGAGGGACAGAATGTGTTACGTCGTCATTTGCGATTCCTTTCTTTAATGCCGCGAGTACTACAAGGTGCGTGTGTGTGCATTACACGTGCCGCTTTCTTGCATAGGTACTAGGTACACCGATTTAACCCTAAAACGGTTACGTTACGGGCGTGCTATTTTTTAATTAAGGCTTACACTATTGATTCAATACTGTACTAATGTAGATTACATTGAATTATGTTTTTGTTATTTATTTCAATGCATATTTGTGTTATTGTAAAGTCCTAAATCTGAATGTGTCCTTACTTCCATTACAAAAATAAAATAAAAGCTATTTTGAGAAAGCCTATTTGTTGCTCCTACAAGTATTTAAATATTTTAGTTCTTTAATTATTTCTCTTTCTTAAAAACTTAGAACTTTAAAAACGGCCGCACTTAAAGTGGGGTTACAAAACTGCTTTATCATTATCAATTACGAGAAGACATAATTACTTTACATAGTAAGTATTAATGCTTAAGATCGTCTTTATCTTGGTATAGCCATACGCTCTTATTCATAAAAATGAAAACAGTTTAATAAACCTATTTTAACTATTGCACTGTTTTGTTACTTTCTCTCAAACCTTGACAGTGCTAAGAAAGAACGAGACAAAACAGTGTTTTAGCTAAAACAGGTTTATTAAACTGTTTTCATTTTTATGAATAAGAGCGATATTCTTTGAGTTATGTTTTAGTCCGTGATGTATTTATTTTGTTAATCGAAGCACCCAAAAACAGAAAATGTCACACTAATACTGAGAAAATACGACCTACATACATCGTTAAGTTGTTAATTATTATCATTTACTTGCATCATTGTCGTCATATTTCAGTGCACTGGCTAAAGGGTTAAAAAGGTTCAAGGTTACGCTGGGAACATATTATCGGACGCGTCCGTAAGCCGCGGCTGATGGACGCGACTTGTTTCTATCTGGTTAATACAAAATATACTAAACTGTGCATATTGTCTGTCATAAGTCGCGGACGTGGCCTTGAGCGCTCGGACGTCCAAACAGAATCTGGCTGGCTGGATGTTTAAGGTCGATTCACACATATCAGTGAACCCACAGTTCCGGCACAGTACCGCATCAGTGATAATTATTCTTTCAAACATTCTCTATGGATGTATTCGCACTTGTCAGTGTCAGTGTCGTCTCAGTACCGTCAGTGTCAGTGCCGGCACCGGCCATCACGGACGTGATCGGCGAAGACGATATTTTATCACGGATCACTGACGCCGCTGCATCGAAAACAAAATGGAAGACGAGGTGTTGATTGAATTAGTTCGTGAGAATCCTGTTTTGTATGATTTATCTCATGCAAAGTATATGGATACAAAATACAAAAACAATTTGTGGAACAAAATAGGAACACAAATGAATGTAGACGGTAAGTCAAAATTTATTTATCTACAGTGCTATTGTAAAGAGGAATTATTACATTTTTGTCTATGTGTTTGAACCTAAAATCTACTTTAATTTGTATATATAGATGATAATTCTGACAGCTCGTAATAGGGATAGGGTAGTGAGTAATCGTTAGTGAAAGTCGAGATGGGCCGCTAGTTTTAAAATAAAATAACAAAGTGTAAGTTGCTTTATTTTAATAGATAAAGTACAAATCATATTTTATCTTCTTGCCAGGGTACTGATCCTGCCTCAGAAATAAAATAATTTTTGAATACTTCTCTAACGTGAAATGCGCCCGCTGTGGCGTTTCCGCCTTGAGGTTGCACAGTTTCCAGTAAACTACTTGTATGAGGTTGATTACCCTCATAATCTGATGCATGTGTTGTATTTGGATTAAAATATTTGATGAAGTTATGTAAAATACAAGTAGCGAGTACTATATTATCTACATTTTCTGGGTTAGCTTGGATCCGTCTATTGTATATTCTAAACTTTTGTGTTAATATACCGAAAGTATTTTCAACAATTCTTCTTGCTCTTGATAAACGATAATTAAAAATGCGCTTGTCGTCATTCAAATTTTGCCCTGGATAAGGTCGCATTAAATATCTTTTGAGAGGAAATGCTTCATCTCCCACAATCACGTGTGGTGTTTCTATTGATGTTCCTGGCAACGGAGAATTTCCAGGTATACCTAAAGTTCCTTGCTGTAGTCTTTTTCCTAGGTTGGAATTTGCAAAAATGCCACCATCACTGTTTTTGCCATAAGACCCCACATCAACGGCAATAAAATTATAGTTCGCGTCCACAAGGGCCATCAAAACAATTGAAAATGTTTTCTTGTAATTAAAATATAGAGATCCACTTTTCGAGGGAGCCTGAATTGTTATGTGCTTACCATCCAGTGCTCCAACACAGTTAGGGAAATTCCACAACAATTTAAAGTCATTGGAAATAGTTTTCCATTTATCTTCTGTAGGCAAAGGTAGCATTTCACTCATCAGAGTTTCCTTTATTATCTTGCATGTTTCCATAACTATGGAATATGCTGTGCTGTGGCCCAAGCGGTAACTAAATGAAATTGTCTTCAGAGAATCCCCTGTTGTTAGATACCTGAAACAAATAAATCTATATATAATATTATTTTCATTGCAGGTTCAACATGCAAAACACGGTGGAATAACATAAGAGACAACTATCGAAAATCGTTGAAGAAAACGGAAACTAAAAGTGGACAAAAGAAGACCAATGTTAAATTATACAAATACTATGAACAATTACATTTTTTGAAAAAATATTTCAATGAACGACCGACAGTACAAAGTGTAGAACCAAAAAAAGAAAATTCTGACTCCGAAACCAACGAGCCTCGAAATACCGTATCCATTTCACCTGATATACCCATTGTCGCTAGTCACGAAGCATCCATTCCATCACCAAGCTACGTATCCACTCCATCACCACAGTGCGTCCGCACTCCCACACCATCACCAAGCCATGTGTCTACTGCATCACCATTGTACGTCCGCACACCCACACCATCACCAAGCCATGTATCCACTCCATCACCACCATCACTGGCGTCTCTATCTACTACATCTACTTTAAGAAAGAGAAAAGGTTCGACAAAATGCACACCAAAACCATCCTCAGCATCTTCATTAATGGAATATGTTCTTCAAAAAAATCAAGAAAAAGCCGAACGCGTCGAGCATCCAGTTGGTGCTTTTTTAAATGGTATTGCACCCACACTGAAGAATTTGAATCAATATTACTTAAATTTGGCAAAGACTGAAATATTTACAACTGTGCAAAAATATGAGATGAAGATGATGACAGAGCAAAATGTACCATTATATCCAAGAGATATTGCAACTGAACCAAAAAATATAAATCTCACATCGCAATCTATTCTTGACTCTACTGGATTGGCTAATATAGTAGTATCATATCCAAGAGATATTGCAACTGAACCAACAAATATAAATCTCACATCGCAATCTATTCTTGACTCTACTGGATTGGCTAATATAGTAGTATCATATCCAAGAGATATTGCAACTGAACCAACAAATATAAATCTCACATCGCAATCTATTCTTGACTCTACTGGATTGGCTAATATAGTAGATCCCACACAACATAGTGATGTGCAGCAATTTGTTATGAACTCTACATTTAACGAATGATAATGCTCTAGAACTTAACAAAGTGTTAAAAGTATAATGTGTTTATGTGCCACATACGAAGTAATAAAAACTGATTTAAATACATATTTTCAGAATTTTAATTAAAAGGTTATCCTTAAACATACCTGTCAGTGGATACATCTGCACTGCAAAAAATGTGTTCACTGATATGTTATCGACTGTTTCTACCTCCAAAAAGGTAAAAATAAAGTTAATAACATCCGGTTTACCTACCTTAGACAAATTGCGAGCCGCTCTCTAGGAGATATAGCCTTCCTCCATCGAGTATCTTTCTTTACTAATTTATTTCCCAGCTTCTGAAGGAGAATATTAAAACAGCTTTCCGACATTTTAAAATATTCAAAATACTTTCTTTCGTCTTTAATTAATTCTTTGTATAATGTCACGAATTCTCCTTCAGATTCTCTTAACTTCCATGCTTCATGTACCCATTTTCTTTTTTTTCCTCGATTTTCTTCTTCTTCTTCTTCGTCTAAAGCAATGGCTATCATAGCTAATTCTGTGTTGTTGAAGAGTGCCATCAAAATAATCGACGTCAACGCTAGTCTGAAGGGAACGTCGTGCACGAAGACCCGCAGAGAACTGTACTGTGCCTGATATGTGTGAATTGAAGCACTGACGCACCACTGTTGCACGGCTACGGAACTGTAACGGTACTGTGCCGGAACTGTGGGTTCACTGATATGTGTGAATCGACCTTTATATGTCCGCGGACGGTGTGAACGAGGTGCGGGACGCGTCCGCGGACGTTTCGGGTTCATAAGCTAACCAACCGCGATCGCGCGCGGTAATACATCAGCGCAATGGACGAAAAATTAATAGAATGTGTTAGGGCCCACGAATGCCTTTATAATCATAAACTTCAACATTATAAAAATGCTGCATTAAAAGACCAAGTATGGGCTCAAATAGGGCGTGAATTAAACACTACAGGTAAGAGTAATTATTACTTTATTTTAAACTATTCTAATTTGTCCAAGGCAAACGTCCATTCTCAGAACTAAAGTAGTCGCAAAACTTGTCTCGTATATCAAATGCCACACGAGTGGAATTATGACGAATACCTTCAAATGATATAAAGTTATCTGGTACACCATTAGGTACTTCTTGCAAAAAAATATTATCGTCGTCGGCGTTCCGTAGCATGTTGTGTAAGCAACAACAAGCTAAAATAATTTTATCAACATATTCTGGTTGTACTTCAATATCTGTATGAAATATCCGCCATCTTGCTGCTAAAATTCCAAATGCATTTTCGACTGTCCTCCTCGCACGCGATAATCTATAATTGAAGTTTTTTTTGTTTGCATTGTTAGAGACAGCTTCTTTACTATATGGTCTCATTAAATATCGTTTTAATGGAAAGGCTTGGTCTCCTATAATGACATGTGGCATGGGTTCACCACCATTTTGCAATGGTGTATCTGCTGGTACATCTGCAGTATTATTCGCCAAAGAAGTTCCCAGTTTTGACTCGGCAAACACACTACCGTCACTATTACGTCCAAAGGCCCCAACATCAATTGTAATAAATTTGTAATTAGCGTCAACTAATGCTAAGAGAACAACAGAGTGTCGGCCTTTATAATTGTAGAATGACGTTCCTGCATTATTAGGGCAAAATAGCATAACATGCTTGCCGTCTAAGCTGCCGATACATTTAGGAAACTGCCATTTATCGCTGTATATTTTCGCTATTTGCTTCCACGTTTCCATGGTAGGTTTTGGCATAAAAATATCTTTTAAATTTTTCCAAATAGCCGTAGTTACCTCCAGTACGATAGTTCTTATTGTGCTAAATCCCATTTTGTATCTAAATCCCAGTGATCGAAATGATTCTCCCGTGGCTAAAAACCTGAAAAAGTATAAATTAATAAGAAATCGGCCAAGTGTGTGTTGAGCCACGCGCTGTAGGGTTTGGTAGTCATACATATTTCATTTTTATAATATTGATAAGATAAACCAATTCTTAACGATAATTCGTTTTTTTAGCTTCACAATGCAAGACAAAATGGAACCTGTTAAGAAATGCGTTCGTGCACGCGATATCTAGAAGAAAGACGGTAACGGGCCAAGGAGTAAAAAACTGGAAGAAATGGAAATTTGAAGATGAAATGTCTTTTTTATTGCCCTATATGGCACATATGCTCACAGTGTCTAATGTTGATGAGAGCGAAGAAGACCAAAATTCAGGTCTAAACGACGACAACTCAAACGAGAACAATAGGAAACAAAAAAAACGGAAAGATAACAACAATTACCAGGAACAAATATTAAATATAATGAAAACAAGGACATCGAATAAACCTGAAAAAGATGATGTTGATTTATTTTTTGAAACGATGGCCAAAAAAGTGAAGAAGTTCCCCAAATTGGATCAAATTCAATTACAGTTTGATATAATGAAAATGGTCCATGAAATTGAAATCAGATGCGAAACATCTGCTATAGAATCTTCTGCTTCTTCCAGTAGTTCGTTAGTAATGTCAACACCGTCACAGTCGCCGTTCGTTCGACGTACATCTTCTCCTTATTTAAGAGAATATTCTATCTCACCTTCGTAAGTACCGCAATCTTCACCCTCCTCGTCTCAAAATGCCCCCCAAGCACACTCTCCTCTCACTCAACAACGTGCTTCGCCTTCATACGTACCACAGTCTTCATCCTCACCTCACAATGCCCACCAGTCACACTCTGCTCTCACTCAACAATCTGCTTCGCCTTCATACGGACCGCAATCTTCACCCCCTCCTTCTCAGATCCAACAGTTTTCATCGTCTATGTACTCTAACATACTCCAACCATCTACTTCACGAATTCCTTACACGCAATACAGCTCTCAACCGTTGCAGCAGACACAAGATTCTGTTATTGAGCTTTCGATCCCAGAAGAAACAAGTGAAGCATATGAAGGTCCAGCAAAATCAATACTAGAATTTTTGATTGTGAACAAGCGTAAAAATAAATAAGAAAATAAAATAAAGCACTTGGGTCAAACACAAAAATGAAAAAAAATTGGTTCAGATTACACAAAGTCCAGATGTTTAAGTTTTGCGCGTGTCTGAGCTTTTATTCTTATAAATTACATTAAGTAATTCCGAGATTTGACCTTTTTTTTTATTTTTTAAGAGTTTATAATTATTCTCTCGCTCTAATCATATCGAAATGTCTCCTTCTGTAGACTGTTCGGATACTTAGTAGCTCAATAAATTAGATGTTAAAAAATATTTAAATAATTCCAAAAACAGTTATTTTTTTATACTGACACGTAAAAACGAATCAACTTTTCATAAACGATAGATCGAAAAATTTGCATTCCATTATTATTATTAAAACCATATAAACATGTTGTTCCCATATTGTAGTCTGCTCCTGTGGACACGTTATAATAACAAAATTGAAGCGTTCTGAACGCACCCATAAAAATTAATTCTATGATATTGGCATCACTGCTTCACTTGTCATTCCGTCGCTTGTAATTGTGACAAATGGCGTCTGTGCTGCAAAAAAATATAAATCTGAAAGGATACACAAGAATTTGGTCGTGTTTTGAAGATCTTTTCTGTTCTTCGTGTAAATTGGTAAGTAAAAACTAATAAAATATATAAATCACACACATCTATGTGAGTTAAGGATCAGTTTATAAATGCCAATATGGTTTCACGCTAACCTTGAAATATCGTATGCCATCTGGACGTAGTTACGCGAAAACGTTCCAACCCACAGCGACCCCATTTTGAGATAAACGCAATTTTGTGTTTTAGCGGTACACTTTTTCCCTGTAATTATTTCAGGCAAATACTATTGGTGTTACTGTGGAATGCCAAATTGGTTATTGAATGATATGCATATTTTTTGTAAATACATAATACAAGGGGCATATAAATAGGTAAAACGAGTTTGAAACGTTTTCGCTAAATTTAATTTTGTATGAACCTTGTTAAATAGCAATTATGCATAAACGTTCCAGAACGAATTCAAGTGTATTATTTTATAAATATATCTAAAATAAATATGTAAAATAATGAATAACAATGAGGAACATACAAAAACAACAAAAATTTGAAAATGTATTACAAAAAAAATAGAACGTGATCTTTTGAGCTTTGAACCTATGCCAATTTGCTGATATGGTTCCAAAAGTTATCAAAAACTTATATTATAAACATTCAATTTTCATCATCGTATTCTATGATCTCGAAGTCCGGAACTCCACCAAACCCATCAACATCATCAGTGCTTCTTCAGAACAGAAGGCAATCCACTTCCTGTGCACCTCTTCCTACCTCTCCTTCTACCAATACATAACAATGCCCAGTATCATTAGATGCACTATGGATACCACTATTGTAGAACTAAGTAAAAAAGTTAAACCTCTTCAAGTTTACAAAATGACAAAGACTGATTTTATAGTACAACTAAACTGGAAAAGAAGATTATCAATAGGAAGAAGTTTACAGACTCATCTAAAGTTAGTTGGCTACATACAAAAGAAATTAAGTTGGATAAAGATATGATTTTTTCTATTTTTATGCGGTCTACGATGGAAGACGATTTCAATGAGTTGAAAATTGATAAAAGAATAAAACGAGAACTGCAATACATAAAAGAATCTGATTTTTGCTTATTGTGGCCTAACGACAAACCGATTGCTCCAGCGAAATTAGTGGACTTACAATCCATGTACCACTACATACCCGAGGATTGCCTTCAATTTTATAGAACGCTTCAAAGTTCTGAAGAAGCACTGATGATGTTGATGGGTTTGGTGGAGTTCCGGACTTCGAGATCATAGAATACGATGATGAAAATTGAATGTTTATAATATAAGTTTTTGATAACTTTTGGAACCATATCAGCAAATTTTTGGCATAGGTTCTAAACTCAAAAGATCACGTTCTATTTTTTTGTAATACATTTTCAAATATTTTTTTTGTTGTTTTTGTATGTTCCTCATTGTTATTTATTATTTTACATATTTCTTTTTGGTTTATTTTTATAAAATAATACACTTAAATTCGTTTTGGAAAGTTTATGCATAATTGCTATTTAACAAGGTTCATACAAAATTAATTTAGCAAAAACATTTCAAACTCGTTTTACCTATTTATATGCCCCTTGTATTATGTATTTACAAAAAATATGCATATCATTCAATAATCAGTTTGGCATTCCATAGTTAAACCAATAGTATTTGCCTGAAATAATTACAGGGGAAAAGTGTGTAAATTGCGTTTATCTCAAATTGGGGTTGCTGTGGGTTGGATCATTTTCTCGTTACTACGTCCAAATATACCATAGTTATTTATTTTGGTAAAAAATATCTTTTTCTCTAGAACATACTTAATAGCAAAAATGGATCAAGTATATGTGGATTGTTTATAGCAAAAAATTAGAAAATAATATATTATAATAAAAGGTTTCAATTTATTTAGAACAGTGTTCGCAGCTTAAAAAAACAGTATGGATTAATCTAAAAGGTTTCAAATTACATGGAACATTTTTGCAGAAATAAAAAATGTATAAAGATTTTGCAAAAACGTTCCAACCCACATGGATCATTTAAGAAACCATTAAATGTGCGTTTTATGAATTTAGTATAATGTTCCAAGACAAGTGGAACATTATAACGATATGTTATTCTATTAAGAGTTTTTAACAATATGTTTCAGTATGCATGTAATGTTTTTACTTTATTTTGAGTACACGTCCTTGGCATAATGGTGGGTTGGAACATTTGGGTTAAACTTTATTGATGAAACTAACCTAAAAATACTAGCATCTTTGTGTGCACATGATGTAATATGTCAAAAATAGTACCCTGGTTATGGTAACTCATTTTCGAGTGACTTGTGGGTTGGAACGTTTTCGCGTAACTACGTCCATCTGTCGTTTTTTTTTTAAATCTCTTTCCTGTTGACGTCTTTCCTGTAGATGCATGTGTCTACAGGAGATACAGTTGTCAACTGAAGGGATGGGAAATCATATTTTTCGTAATAAAATATTTTTTATGTAAATAAAAAATAAAAATTAAGTTCCTCCTTCATTATTTTTACATGCATCTTTCTAAAATATTACGAAATATGCACGTAAACAAGGTGATACCGTAAAAAGAGGAGGGATATGCAATAATAAAAATAATTTTTGATTGCTTTTTTTTTACGTCAAGCTTACCTATCTCCCTAACATGGCATTTGGATCTTAAATTGTCTGTCCTAGCCTAAATCGTAAATGACAATGCATAATAACACATTTTACACGCTTTTTTCATTATCTTTTCTGTAGCCATCTTTTCTGTAGTCATCTTTTCTGCATGTGAATTGGTCTACAGGAAACATTTAACTTTGAAAAAAAAAGCTTATATTTTATCGCCTTTGTCTACAGAAGGGATAAAATATAAGGTTTATTATGCTGAACTGATTTGTTTTTATCGTATGGACTGTCGCAATGGTGAAACTATTAATATATTTATTGCATGACACTTAATTACATTGTTACAGTCATAAAATGCCACGCACTAGTAGAAGTAGAATTCAGCTTTCTGATGAAGAGAAAAAGAGACGGAGGCGTGAACAAAAAAAACTTAGTATTCGTCGTGCACGAGCTAAAATGGATGAAGCAGCCTTAGAGAAAAGAAGAAAACAGGACCGAGAAAGATATAAACGAAAAAAGGAACAGGGTAAAATTAAAACTATAAAAGACTACGCCCCTAGAGAACAACAAAACATCAGAAAAATATGGAGAGAAAAAGCCAAACTAAGACGCCAGAAAGTAAATAATGAGAAAAACGCTTTGCGGTTCGTTGAACAGAATACTCCACCGTCTAGTCCCTCTTTTTCGCGTATTAAAGTCGGTGTTAGGCTCAGAGGTTTGACTAATAAAGAAATATACTTCACTTTTATCAGCTGTTTTATTATATTTTACTTTAATTAACATTAGGACTACGAGACACATGTGGACGCTATTCTAGCTGGAAACGGAAGGGGCTAGTGTTGCCATAATTCTACCTAACATCTTTCCTTTTACAAAACAAAGAAGGATAGCTTTACAATTTTATGCAACAGACCTATTTTGATTCTATAAACACTTTAATTTATTTTTAATATATTACAAAGAATGTTCACTATGGCTCAATGTTCTTAACCCAAACTTAGAGAAAAAAAAAAAAAAACAAACATTGATATTACTTTAAACTGACAGTGACATTTGATTACTTGACATTTCTTAAAAATATTAATGTGTTAATTACATATTTTATTTACTGAAGGCAGTTAAGTTTTTCTTTTTTCTAACAATTAGATACAATATCTATACGTAAGTTATTTAAATACAACAATCTCATAGCCAGGTTTTTCTCAACCTATTTATATTTACACAGATTGACTATTGGATAAATTAGTTAAGCATAACTATTCCTTTCTTCCTTATATAAACTGAAAATAAAACTAAATTTACTTATTTACTTAAA